TCGGGAACTGCTTTTATTCACACAATTCAGAGCTGCGCATTTAAACATCGTTTCTATTTGACCCTGAGTATTTATATGCCTGTTGTACGGGAATCGTATCAAATGATGTCACATCCTTCTTGTATGTAAGGGAGATAACTTGAGGGGTAGGTTCTTTCCATTTCATCTCGGAATTCAACGCATTTGTATTATTAAATGTTTGTGCAATACACTAAATGCAAAGAAAAATAGTCAGGATAGATTATATACACAAACTACTACATATCCTTCTATTTATAATAAAATTTTGCAGGTTAGGATTTTGTCCCCTTTAAGGTATTGCAAAGTTGAAGTGTGATTGAAGTAAATATGCTGTAGTACAGTTGTAGAATTAGATTTGATACTCATACTTTTAACAGAGGTAGTATTTGGGGGAATTGATACAACAGTACGTATGGTATTAATAGGCTAGTTCCGTTATAGTGCTAAAGTTAAAAGAAGAAATAAAGGGCAACAGTTTTGTCATTAGTGCTTGAGAAATTGATTAATTGATTCAGTGATTGGTTCATGTTTAGCTGCACATCAACATATGAAAGGTTACATAATGCAGAAGAAATTGCAAAACATGTCTTGATCTAACATAGACCATTACTGATTCACACTCCCAGGCTTGGAAAGATGCAAAATCTGTTTTTTATAACGCGAATCTGGTACTCTAATGACTGATTAATCGCAGCTACAAGTTGTAAACGAAGTATTATTACCTTCGTAGCGGTTTTCAACATATGTAGTGCAATGTTAGAAAACAGGGTGCTAGTAGTAGTAGTAGTAGTAGTAGTAGTAGTAGTAGTAGTAGTAGTAGTAGTAGTAGTAGCAGTAGTAGTAGTAGCAGTACAGTACCCGTGGTAGCAACAGAGTTCCTATTCTCGTCACTTAAGATATGATTGACATTTCACCTCTGTCTGACTGGGTTGGAGCTTAAGGCTCTGATAATTAAAATCTATTCACTTGGGTACGTTTTGTCTTCGGTAGGTTTTGAACAGGGTACGTTTTGACTTGGGTACGTTTTGACTTGGGCACGTTTCGGTTTGGGTATGTTTTGACCTTTTCTCATAAGTTTCCTTTGTTCGGTAGTTCTTTCCGGTACTTTCCCGTTTTTTTCCTGCATGCAAGTGCGACTCATGGCTGCAATCAGCTTCCCAAAAAGCAGAATGGCAAGTTTTAAAAACCACCTGCCTAATTTAAAAATTTATAAACAATAAAATACACAAGTGAAGACCACACACACACACACACACACACACACACACACACACACACACACACAGAGTCCCAGTAAAGACCACACACACTTGCACGCACACACACACGCGCACGCACAGAGTCCCATCATAACATTAAGTTGTTGTTATGGGTTTAACACAATCCCGCAGCACAAGAAATATATAGCGGTCAGTATAACTGGTGGAGGAAGAACCCATGAAAACCCCGTTGAGGACCATTAACTCAAGGGAGTCTTCTAGCACCTTTCTCACATACATTGTCCTATCACGAGACTGACAGTGAGATGACATTGATAGGTAAACGCGAGCCTTTAAATACCTTTGGTCGCACAGGGCCAAAGTTTTAAGTTGAGAAACTTGACAGAAGGCAATTAAAAACTCTTAGCTTCACAATTTACAAAATTATTGATAACTAGAGCATGCGGGGATCATGTTGAGTCCCAAAAAAAAGTACGAACGTGGGAAATGTTACGGGCTGTTCTGCTTACCAGAACCATATGAATAATGTGTCGAACTGGTTGGAAGATATGCAACAAGCCCAAAAGTAGCTCATACATTATCAGTGTCCTTTGTGAGACATTCCATCAGTTTGATCAGTGGAAGTAAATGAAACGTGGCCAATGTTTAAATAAATGAACGTATTTTTTAAAAAACTTTTATCAAACTTGTAAACAAAACATTATTGTGAACAAATACTCGTAATCTCTCCATTTCCTTCATTAGAAAGGTTCGTATATTTAACAATACTTAAATGGGAGGGTTCATTGTATTTCCTCTGGGATAGAATGGTAAAAAAATGACTCTATCCATTAATATTTTCGTTCGTCATGGTGTGCCAGTCGTGTTATAACTTTGTTATCATAAGGGGAGGGGCACAAAGGGTATATTAACATGGAAAACTCTAACGCTATAAAAAAAACTTTCGATTTATTTAACAATGCCTTTTCTAAAACCACACCCTACGATATCGTGTAACTAATCCTTTAACCCAAATCTTCAGTAGACGTACACAATTCTGAGGGCAAAATCTTTTGAGGTGGCGGCAGATGCCGCAGTCTGTGCAGGTGCTGTATCATACGGATCTACGGTCAAAGCGGCTGATCTAAAGGGGGATGCAACAGAAGTGCGTGTTTATTTTGCTATCAATATTGCAATATTACGCTTATGATTTTGCTAAAAATTTCTGCAAGTATTCTGTGATTTTTCAATGCGTTCTTAAAATTGAAAACATTGCAAATTGAAGTAATTTACTATTTTATTTTAACCTTTTATTTATTGATTGCATCAGAATTTAAAAAAAAAAAAACGTGTTTTATACTGTCCCTGATTTTATCCAAATGCGGAGTTGCTTCTATAATTCCGAATTTCTTTCCTTATTGTAAATGTCTGAAAAACGAAGATTTGTTCCAATGTTTGAGGTGTCAACCTACTTGATTCTGAATTTTCACATATTTGGGAGAGAGGCAGGCAGATAGAATTTAGCGCAGGGATTCGTGCATCAGTTTTACACAATCATTTTTAAATGGGACTAAAGTATAATAAGCTATCGAGACATTTCTTATATCAGACCGGATTAATGACAATATTATTACATATTAAACTGAAATTTCTTGAAGTGAAAGATGAAAAAGTTTTCAGATTGGAAAAGCTTTTAAGATTTAATATAAAATATATACATAACCGTCTAATTCCTAAATATGATCTTAGTTTCGTAGTTAAAGGTTTCGTTAAATGTGGGCTCTATCTTCTTCCTCGATTCTGTCTTGCCTTAAAAATATGTATTATTAATATGTATTTCCCAATAGGATCTGCTTTTATTTCAAAAGTTTCACCTGTCTATAAGATGTTATTTTTCATGCGCACATTTATTGTAAAGTCAACTCTCTCTCTCTCTCTCTCTCTCTCTCTCTCTCTCTCTATATATATATATATATATATATATATATATATATATATATATATATATATATATATATATATATACACACACACACATTCCGACGCGATTAAACACTGATAAGAATTGGAAGAACACAATCATATTAAGAAGCGTAATTTTTTGAGTCACCTGTAATTTGAAAATCGTCTTATTCTTCATATTTACACACCTCTCTCATTAATAATACCAATGTTACTATGATTATTCCCATTTTTAATGGTATAAGCAGTGATTTATTCGGATTGTAGCAGTTTCTATGAGATGGAGATAGCGGAACGATAATAGCACTGAGCTGATACGCTTTAGATCGAGACCCCTGGCTAAAGAGCATGGACGTCATATTTTTGTCATTTGTGTCTTTGGATTTAAAGTGCAGGGGGAAAAACAAAAATAGCCCGTTTCAAAAACAGTTGAAATATCCATTCACAGTGGACTTTTCCAAACATTATTAGATACAGCAGCATTATTTCTCTTAGGACTTCAATGCCACATCTACTCATAAAGAACGTCACGCTGTTGCTCATTACTTTTCACCGTGATTTAAAAACTGAATTACTAAAATATAGTATATTACATTTCTGAATAGATAACCAATAATAAGATAAATATGCAAAACATGAACGATTACTCACAGTGATTTGTACATATCATCATTACCGAATGCATTTGGCAAATCTAATTACAGAAACAATGATACTGCTGTCTATAACGTTGAGCAATAATAAATGTTAAATTCCCAATTGCAGCGCAAGTTCCCTACCTGTCTATTGTACTTTAGATCAACGCAATAACAGTAGTAAATATTTTGTATGTCCTTATTTAATAGCGTGACAACTTTCAAACAACTTTTTATATTGCAGGCATGTGAGAGCGTAACAAATCGCCACAGTTTGAAGCAGGTTTTTTTAATTCTTCAGCTCTGTTGAATATTTCATTTGTAATCTTTATTTCTTTTATTCATTCTTTGATCAGTTTCGGGTGATTAAATCAGTAAGTAAGTAAGCTATCTTGGTTTTGATTTTATCTATTGCGTAATCCAATTTAATTATCATGCCACATTTTGAAAGAAATTTATATATACCGTCGCTAGATTTTAATTACCTTTCATCTGTTTTCTTTGTCATACATCATTTGTACTTCCCGTTGAGCGGGAGACTTTAATTTTTTATCACTGTTACCAGTTTATCGTTTTACCTTCAACTGTTTGTTTTCATATCGCTATTCGATACAAAACCTTTTACCACTTTTAAATAATGAAAAAATGTAACCTTTTGTATGGTGATAAATAGTCTCATTGTGCTGGTGCGCCGTAAAATTTCAACCAACCAAGCTACCGATCATCTCGGAATTCGAAGTTCTGGTTCCAGGATGTTACACCCAACACTATTCTACGAATAAATCTATCAGTATAAAATGTGCACTTTTAAATTTGGTTTTGTGAGCGATTTGGTTCAATCTTTTACAATTTCTATTAAATTTCATGTTCCTGTCATTTTTCAAAATAGCATGAAATCTTTTTCTTATCACTTAACACTGATTGCAAGAAAAATACAGTATCGGGATGTCATTCCAGTCATGAGAGTCAATGCGTTTATTTTTATGTTTGGAATTATTAGACACACTGATCATATTTGTCAGGGAAAAGGTTTTGTAACCTAAATCCTGGGGTAATGTTTTGCATCTTACATTGGAAATTTGGTTTGACTTTGTCAAAGCAAACCAATGAAAATGTGCCCGTGTTTATTAAGTTTCAAACTCCATTAGTTGGCGTTCTACTAGCAAAAACAACAAAATAAACCGACCGCGCCCGGTGGCTTAGTGGTTATAGCGTTCACCTCAGATGCGAAAGGTCGTGGGTTCGAACCCAGGCCGAGTCATACCAAAGAATTTAAAATGTTACTAACAGCTGCCTCGCTTGTCGCTCAGCAATAAGAGGTTAGTGTTAGGACTGGTCGGCCTGGTGTCAAGATAATGTGCTGACCAAGTGCTAGATATCACTATAAATTGCATTGTAGCTATATGACTGAACAATTGTTAAAGCTACGTTAAAAATCTAAATCACACACGCACACACACTCACACACACACACACACAATGAACCTGTTGTTTACATCTCCCGAGACAATAAAAATAATAAACCAAATTGTTGATCTTGATTTAGATTTCTGCATGGCAATTACCACACAATTTCACAAAGTAGAATGCCTCTAGAACTATATCAAGATCACCACTTTGTTTGTGCTGTAAGAAATACAGAGGCCCCATTTAAGATCAGCAAAAAGTTAACGATCAGTCCTAACTTAGTATAAATGGTGTGAATTCTGGTGAATTATCACAAAATGATATTTCTTGCTTTAGTCATTAGAGGCCATGAACATATAGAAACCTGTGGCTTCTGAAGTGACTGTACATGGTTTATTTGGGGTCGAATCCTTGTACACATCAAATAATTATCAGCAAGCGAGTAGGTGACTGATCACAATTCGATATCTATCTATTATGACTAAAAGCTAAATTTATAAGTTAATTATTAATAATATTAAATAAAAACAGTAACAAAAGAATATACGTATATCTTTTCTACGAACCGATCTAAAGACATTGTTCCGCATTTAGAATACAGATCAACTGAACTTACGTTTTACACTGTGAGAATTCAACAAGCAATAGTTAGGCGAAAGTTTGAAAGTGACTTTATCCAATCAAAGCGTTTGCAACGGTATTGATCAATCATATCCTTATGTTTAAAAACCTCAGTGATTAGAGTTCATTGGAATCAGTGGATCACACACAAGTGAAACTAGCTATCTAGAAAAGTGCTTGATGCAGCATAATTCTTCAAGGTCAAGGCGTTTGTCAAACATGGGGAATAATCTGAATTACTGATATTTAGATAGAGTATATTACAAAGTGAATTCATCATATGAGGACGAATATACAGTTATTAACTCTGAGGACCTGTGTTCTAATATTGAAAGAGTTAAAAGTAAAAGTGTCGAGTCACTTAACATAGACATGAATAAGGCGTGTTTAGAGCTGAAGCATATACCAAGGGTATATAGTGGTATAGACATGAAAAAGGCGTGTTTACAGCTGAAGCATATACCAAGGGTATATAGTGGTATAGACATTAGCATATTAATATTAATTTTGATAATCAGTGTGGGGATGACTCTAGTCTTTGCAGATTTTATTAAATCAAGTGCGATGATAGATTTTACGATACAAAGGATGATTTCGGTACTCGCGATTCTTGGAAATATTTGCCTTTTAGCGATGTTTGTCCTTCGAAAGAATACGAAACATTTTCTAGAGTCCAAATCAGCAAAGACTAGGAATATTGGAGTGCTAGGACAAACACTCAGAGTGATCACCCAGACAATACTTTTGCACATATTTGCTATAGGAACGTTATCTTATCATGCTTTAATGTTAGTCAAAGTTTTTAGAAGCCAACCAAATTGTCCGGAATCACGGCTCTCACTCTGTATGTACATATCCTTAGCAATATTCAGTATTCTTCAGCTGTTTTTTCTTTGGAAGTTTATTGATATGAGATGTGCTAGTTTTCTAGCACGTACTTTGATGAGCTTTGTGTTTGGGGCCAACATTAACCTCTATCTGTGCGTTTTAATAGAAGAAACGGCGACTGTACTAAATGAGTCGAGAAGAAATTATCCAAATATGACAGAAAGTTGTGCGATATCAGTTTATCCTGAAACACGTCTAAGTAATAATGACACAGTTTATGGTGACGCCACGGATGAGGCAAGTCATTACCTTTACCCTTTCGTGGTAGAATATTCTCTGATGGCAGTACAGCTGTTGTACGCAGTATGGGACATATCTCTGTACAAAAGTACAACAGAGATCGACATTTCTAATTCTAATGTGGAATTAAATCCAGTGGATGAAGAGATACGTCTTCTTGGTGTCAAAAGTCGGGTGTATTGCATTTGGGAGTTAAAGCGCATGTACGCTCTTTATATTGGACTTTTCATTAACATTCCTCTGTGCATTGTGACGTTTATCAAAGGTATTAGATTGGTACATCTTATTCGTAATGTGTTAGCACTTGTTGTATTGATTACACATTTTGTATTTTGTATTATAGGACTTGTTCTCAACAGGAATGTAAAGAAAACAAGCACAAATCGAAGTATACGATCTCGTGATGTGACACTTTTCATAACCGCTGGAAGCGTATCATTCTTTCATTTTTTCAGGCTGGTGGCCATCCTTAATTATTTACCAAAGAAAGATACGCTTGGGGCATCAGACGATGGTGTGGATTTTCTTATGCTTGTTGCAATTTTTCATCTTTTATCCGTTTATTCTCAAACGCTTTTTATTAGAAATTGTCCTAGAACCAGACTGTCTTCAAAGTTAATGTCGAGACGGCAGTTTCTTAATATACAAATATGTGCATATTTCCTTATGACTAACATTTCCTTCTGGATTATAGATAGTTTTATGCCGCATCACATGTATGACAACTCCCCAATCAAGGATGTACCACTGGATTTCTATGGAATTACTAACTGGATCTCGATCACTAATATATTGGTCCCACTGATCATATATTACCGATTACACTGTGTCTTTCTTTGTTTAGACCTCTTGAAAAAGCCGTGAAACATTTTTCAGCAAATATTGTCTCTAACGTTATAACAAATATAGTGGATATTAATTTTGGCCTAAATAAAGTTTGGACATAAACGCTTTTATATCGGACAATGATGGTTGTAATATTTAGACAAACTTGCATCAAGTGCCGCACTGGTCTAACTCTTAAATGATACACGTCACGGTTAAACTTAATTTTTTGATCTTATGAGACGATCCTCCTGATGTTTGTGTAACGAACAGAACCTAACGTATGATTCTGAAGGTGGCACGTGGCTTGTAAACTGTAACATGTTGGTCTCTCCGAATTTATTACTCTACCTTATATTAATTGTGTTAAGTGTTTAGTTTAGGTTATCACTTATTCAATTTGTCTTTCCCAATGTATGTTTACATTGTCAAAATACCTTGTCAAAGTTGATAGATTGATTTCTCAAAAGTCATTGCAATAATATAATACAATCGACAAGACGTAGACACAAAGACGCGATTCTCAAATAAATTTGAATAGACAGTCTTGTGTGTGTGTGTGTGTTTGTGTGTGTGTGTGTGTGTGTTTGTGTGTGTGTGTGAAACAAAGTCAATGTTCATCTTGTGGAACGTAACGCCAGAAAGAAATATAAATCAGATCATTCAGAGTGACAAATAAAGTATAGACAAGAATGTATGGAATAAAACACACCGTAACGCCTATACATGAGTTGAAAACAAATTATTGTGTGCACTAGTGCTATATATCAACTTTGAATGGTTGTGTGTTGGCCATAGGTTATAAAATTCACTTCTTTGTTTTGAAGGATTTACTTTTATAATTCTATATTTGTGTTCAGTTGTGTCTGTTTATTGGTACGAACTAATTAAATAATACTGCTAATTATGGAGGTTTAACATAGGATGTTGACTGCTGTTGGAGTTTTTGCTATATATGTGCTGCAGATGAGGTTAACTGCGCAAGTAAACGAGCTGTTGGAGATCTGGGCGGGTATGTATGAATTATTTAAAACATTTATGATTTACTCGCAGTCATCTTACGATTTTATCTTTTGTTCATGGCTAGTAGACTACAATTGTCAGCGACGTAAATAAAAATCAAATTATGGTTGTTGCAGTCGCCCGTGTAATTAGTATTTTACTTGTATATAAAAATAAAACTCTTGACCTAAACAAAATGCATTGGTTGAAATGACTGTCATTTTATAAAAGTATACTCTTTTTAACAGCAAAGTGTGAGTAAAGAATCAGTCTACCAATGGATTTATAGTTTCATAGGAGTTTCAGGTTTCGCTTTATGTGTACATAAATATACCCTTTTTAATCTTCCTTACACAACTTTAATGGGCTGTAATGTGTTTTAGGGAAGAATAAAACTCATCGACTGAATATTCCTGTTTCATATATGTTACAATGTTGTATACGTGCAAAATGAAACATAAATAATGTCCTTCTTACCCCAAATAAGTAGAATGTGGACTATGTTTTGCGTGTATAAATTTAATAACGGATCTTTTATATATATATATATATATATATATATATATATATATATATATATATATATATATATATATATATATATATATATATATATATATATATATATTGCCTTCCATTTAGTTTCTAGCATTGACAACATCTCTAATCATACTTGATCCCTTCACGTATCGACCTTTATTGCTTTTCAATGAGTTAATGGTCAGCACTATAATAAAAATCTTAAAGTATGGATATATTTTGTACAAACATACAGTGATAAAAGCAAATTCTTTCTTGAATGCTGATAAATAGATAAAAGTGACACAAGCAAGTTCATCAATGAACCATGATATGTAGGTGCACTTCTGGTACAAACACGCAGTCGCACAACGACACTTGTAAACAAAGTAGAAAGGTGCGGAGAGAAAATAGGGATATATTTTTTAAACAAGTACACAATCGCCATTGATAGTCGAAGTGTGTATTGTATTCATCAATCAAAACGTGGTTGTCAAGCGGTGTTATTCAGTCAAAGCGAAAACTAAATTTTCTGCCAACAACTACGACAGAGTGAAATATAACCAGTACTGCCCATTATCAATCGATGCTTCTAATAGAGATCCAAACAGTTTTGGGGTAAATCTGTTGTCTTTTCTTATATTAAGTAATGTTAACACCTTAGCTGTTACGGCCCAGCTAGTGGCATGACTTCAAATAAATCTGTTTCATATAACTTTGGGATATTCATCATTTTAGACATCAACAAGATCGTAGATC